GGACGCGTTGCCCACCGCTGTGGATCAATAGTAACCACGACACCTTTACTGGTCAAAGGGGGCCAGCCGTGGTCTCTGGCAAAAACACAGAATTTGACTTTAGAGGGGAGCCCCAGGATGGAGTCAACCAGCAAAACTTCACCTGTTTTCGGGACAACATAGAAACTGCCATTTTTGGGGCTAGAGATGTATGTCAACTCTGCGTTCTTGCCGCTGTCTGCGTCAATAGCCTCCAGGCTGTAAACCACACTACGGAGAGCAGTGGTGTCATCTAAAGTTATCTGAACGGGGTCTGCACTGCGAAAAGTCGGCTCGTGGTCGTTAGTGTCCAAAACGTCCACTTTTACCGACGCAACCTCAAAGACGACAGACTCCGATAAGCAGGTCTGGCAACACAGACCTACGCTCAGCAGGTATTCAGAGCGGGTCTCTCTGTCTAAAACCCTGGAAGTTTTTAGTAATATATTCCCCCTCTTGTGGTGGGAGAAGGCGCGGAAATCTTCACTGCCGTTTCCATACAGTTTGAAGTGCATCCCGGAGACTGGGCACCATTTTTGCGCGTTGATGCGCCTCACCGGAATGCTGAGTCCGTTCACTTTAGAAGCCGTCGGCGAGTTCTCAAAAACATGCCCGTGAAAGAAAGGCAGCCGCTCCTGTCTTTGATATCCAGCAGCTGGTTTCAGAAGGCAGCATAGTAAAACACCCCAAATCATGTTGGTGGCAAGTTATGTACCTCCAAGTGACTCAAGGGGGTTGGTAGAAAATCATTAAAAAATAAAAGAGAAACACCTGAAAAACATTTCCCTCGTAGTTATCCACGATACGATCCTTCCGGGAGACCTCTTTGAACTTTAATCTTTGTCATCCTTGGTGATCCGTCTCCTGGCTCCATGTAGCACGTCTGCGTTGCAGGCAGTTGGCTGTACCCAGCATTGAGCACCACAGCACCGGACAGCGCCAAGCGCGGGGGCGTGGCGGCGCACGGGGACGGAGCTCTTCGGTGAACCCCACCCTGTGTGATGGTCAGGATCTTCCTCGCGTCAAACCTCTCCACGCCAGATGAGCCTGCGCGCACGCACAAGAGCCTTCAGAGCTGTATGACACCGACTTCCACAATTTCCTTTCAGCCTAAAGAAGAGTTGGTAAATTGAAAATCACTCATCCGTCTGGAGAAAGTCAGGTGAACACATACGGCTCTTTTCCAAGAGACGATGTGTTTGGATCATAAACATTCTCCCAACACTGGCTTAGGTGAAGCGGACAGATTTGCCTTGCTCAAAGAACACTTTCACGGTTGAATCCCTCATCCGCTACACCGACCTTGGCTGCCTGAGGAACTGAACCCACGACCTTCTGGTCACAATTTTTCCTCTAAACCTAGGTTACAGTGCCTATAACGCTCTGCATTTCTGCAACCACATGCCCATAAAATCACGTTTGAATTATAGCACGAAAAAAAAACTACCAAGAAAAAAGCAAACTCTACCAATATAAATGCAAACAGAAGGATTTGGGCTGGTAAACTATGTAAGTATGATGATTTAAGGCTGCCTACGCTAAGCAGCTCCATTCGTGTTTGCAGACTGAGAGTACACCAGAGTTCATATTAACATTGTCACCCTGGTTGCTCTTCCTTTCCCTTCCCACTCTGCCAAGCACCCAGAGCACTAAACCTAATCTTACAGTAGGTGGCTACTTCTAATTCCCACAGACTGCACACTTCCAATTCCCCTCACCTCTCTGTATATGAGGAGTCAGAAGACTAAATATTACATGGAGTGGAAGGCTGTGAATTGTCAAAAATATAAGGAAATAATGGGCTAGAGAGCAAAGCTGCATGCTCTATTGAGTTTATCTTTCATGTTGTGTCATACTTTACTTTAGAAAAGCATGGACCAATATTCATATGCATTGGGGTGCAATGTTATACTTGATATATAATTCAATGAGAAGCAATGTTCCCCTGCTCATACATTCTGTTGCTACATTTGTATTCAATTTGAAAATTCATCAAAGCTCCCACAGAAAGATCCTTAACAATTTGAAACCACAATCCATCATTGCAATTTTATCCGAATCCACTCTCTGCAGTAAACTGTTCTTTTCAGGCAATAACTCCGGTAACTGGCAGTGAGCCCCAAGACAATTTTGAATCACAGCCTGCAGCTGGAGCACAAAGCTCAAACTAGTTGATCGTTTTATTTTTTATGTGGCGCAAGCTGTGGGCTGTGTCACTAGGACACATGAGCCATCCCACACTCATTGGTGTTTTTAAAATCTCTGACCTTCAGAAAGAAAAGGAACTTCAAAATAAGTGTGTCAAAATAGTCTCGGTTCAAAATGTGACAAGGAATCTATTGTTGGGAAATGACCTCATGTAACATCACTGGTGGTGACAGTGTTATATCTAAAATAGGCACTGTCTGAACTGCCACATGCTCTATTCTGCTCTCCAACTTCGCTTTGAACTTCTTAAGTGCTTCATGAATGCAAATCAAATTCTTTTATCATGTTGTCTCACATGGTGAAATCCACCGTGACTGCCAGCATGGGAGATAGCTGCAGCAAAGGCTAATTCAATCACAGAGGCCAAGCCAGAGTGTGAGGGATAGCTTACTTGAGGGTTGCAGCAGTTATCTACTGAGATGAAACACCACCCTCCTTAAAAAAAAAAAAAAAGCTATAATGAATTTTAAAAACATCACTCAACAGCTTCATCGTCCCTCCCCTCCAACAAACAATTGAGAAAAAAGATTCTAATGATATAGAAGCCAATGAACATTATAAGGCGTCATGCTTATCTAATGAATAATAAACCAAATCCATTCCCTTCACTCAAACAGAGGCAGGCAGAGTTTCTGTAGACAAAGGTTGTAGCCATGTAGCATTTAAAACATTTTACCTGTGTGTCCTCAGAGACAAGGGATGATGGGATTCATGGGTAGAGGTCCTATAGCCTAATGCAATGTATGCTCTATGAGTTGCAGGTTGTCTTTTATTCTTCCTGGAAAAGCTATTGTCAAAAGCAACAGGAAATGATGGAAGGTAATGTTAAGAGGACTTGGCACTAACATCAGTTAATAGGCAGCTTAATCCACACAGTAAGTAGAGTGTTTAAAATGTCTTAAATATAAAATTACATCAATGATCTAATTGTCTGAAACAGGCAGGTTTAAAAAAGAATGGCAGGGCAATTAAAATGTATGACTAAGCATCCGGGTCTCTGGTTGCTACTCATGTGTGAATGTTTATAGTGAACATTAATGGAAACTCTACCCCACATGCCTTCCCGAAAGAGCTGCAGCGAGCCATTTCTGGAAACACCATGACACTCGACAGGAGCAGCAGCTCTATAGCACCTTTCATTGTTGTGTTCCTGTGTATATGGGACCCTCAGGACATTTTCCCTCATCACAACCTGAAGGCAAAATGCAGTTGGAGGAGCTAGATAAATATAAAGACATTTTCCTGAAGTATTAGGTATGGCTAATTAGATTTGATGTGTGATCCCCTTACGGCTCCTACCACCTACTGTAGTATTTAAGCTGTGCTGTAGAAACCATAAGTGTATATTAATATAGGTATTAATTATGGAGCAACGTGTACCCTGGTTTAGAATTTATCTTTCCCCAATAAGCATGCAGTGCATCAGGTTTTTGAAAATGTCAGCTGTGCAAAAAAAAACATCTCATTAAGGTGCATCTCTTTAGCCTTTATACTTAGAATGCCACATCTCCAAAAAGATGATGTGTGGTTCATTGAAAGGCTCAATAAGTTAAATAAGATAAGCACAGCAACAGCCCCTTTGAAAGGAAGAAGCCAAAAATGATTTCATGATTAATGCATGGGCTGTTGTTTTGATATAAACAAAAGGCACAACTTCAGGGCCACATCTTGTGTGAGCAGTGCTTTTAATATATTGTATCTATACATTCTGATTAGAGGAGTCTGGGGGTGCCTCAGTTATTAGCAAACCAAGAAATGATCATTGATTTGAGCAGTATCTCATTGAACAATCACGACTTTCAGATTAAAAGCTTTCGCACATCATCAAAAGACGCAGGAGATAGTCACTGAAAATTTAAAGAAAATGAAAATTAGCGCAACTCAGTGTCCCCCTCCCTCTGCCTCATTAAGAGGTGAGCGCATGGAAAGAAGCAGTGCTGATGTTGTCTTTGAAACAGCTTCGAGAGGGAGAACATTACAGTAGCTCGGATGCACAATGAAACTCCTCAGGTCTTTTTCTCAGTTAATTATCCCAGCAAGCCCCAGCCATTAGCCAGGTTTCCATTACTCGACCAGTTCAAAGCTATGAACTAATAGTGTAAATTCAATAATGTGCTATTTACGAGGCTGAGAGAATTATGAAAGACCCATTTGGGGGGAATATGAAAAATACCGAAGGCTTCCTGGGCCGAGCAGACTAATAATCTTTTCAATCGTGGCGGTCCTGCAGCAGCTCTTTACATGATTTACACATGGGGCCAAACGCAAAGACACTCCCACCCTTCATTATGCATGGGTAGACCACTGGATCCAGCCATCTGATCTTCATTATCTGGTCCTATTCAGACCTCCTGAGCCGCCTCTCCAAATCAGTGAGCGCTGTCAGTAATGATGATTCAGTCTCAGGGAATAAAATAGGTCCATTAAAATCCTGTCTCCCTCAAAAACACACTCAACCCTGCCTCATTCTTGGATTTCTAATTTTGTGGACTCCATTGTTGATTTTTCATCCCCAGACTATACTGTTAAGTGGACTCTTAATAAAAGCAGCTCTTAATGTACCATATGCTCACGCTGTATATCATAGTAAGCCTTCCAGCAGAGGTCCCCTATGCAGGAAAAGAGTACTACTCTTCATCATCACTGCTGTTCAGGGGGGGAAAGCTTTATAAAGTCAGTTTAGGAGTGTTTTCCAGCAGGACCAATCATTTAAAGAGTAATGAGGGGGATTTTCACCAGCTCCCAGGAACATAAATTTCACATTGCCTAAGCTACTTGTTTGTTGAGAGCCTGTTCTCTGAAATCTAGTGAGGCCACTAAGCAGCCTACCAACACCAGCCCAAATGGATTTGTACAGTTTAATGAACACACATTTTGTTCATTGTACATATGCATGGTTTGCAATATTTTGGTCTCAACAGCTTATGTGAGCGATATTTTGGTTATTTGACACTATTCAAGAGAACAAAATCTAGTTTGGGCTATTCCTTTGTGTTTATGTGTAAACATTAAATGTGAGCATGACAGTGTGCGGTGTAACATGAATGTTGTTCTTCCTGAAAACCTAAATGCCCCTACGTTGTTTTTTCTTTATCCCACTTTAGCAGCCATCTCTCCAACCTGCCAGATATCTTTACTAGAGCAGTAATGTCAATGAATATCCTCCATTACTGCTCCTGTTGGTGTCAGTCAGCTCACCCACAGTGAAGGATCTGTAGCACCCTCAACAGTCTTTTTAGAGGACTGCAGTGCTGTGAATTCTGTGACTGAGGATGCACTGGTGAAATAGTGACACAGAGCTGGTTTTCAGATAGATCTACAGCACACAGATTAATATGACTGTACTTGATGAATCATAAAACATGTACTTTTAACTACAGTAGGCTATAAAACCTGAAGCAGAGAAGATCCCGAGGAAGTACTTTGAAAAACATAAAATTTAGAAGTGCAGCTTCAAAAGACTGGGGGGGATAGTTTAAGCTCATTTCAGATCTAAATACACAGCAGTTATTACATGTTGGTACATATGGTGATAACTAGTGCAACTATAGCAAAGTAGACTGCATGTCACTAACCCAGGCTAAGACAGAAACATTTAATGCATTATTTGCACTGATGACAATATAGATGTTGACTTGTCTATTAATGAATGGCTACATTTTCTGACAAAGACTATCAACTCATTTAACAGTAGAAAGCTTGTTTAATTGCAGAATATAGTGACAGTACAGGACAGCAATAAAAATACTGCCATATTGCTTCTATTTTACATGACTTTACACAGCTGCTGCTCAGCTTATGAAACAAACCAGTAATATGGTATTTGTACAGTAATGATGAGATACACACAGACGGGCTCACTGAGCACTTCGCCCACCATGTTCCACAGACAGGTGGCTGTGTTAATTAAGAAATGCACAATATTATAATAATGATAAGAGCGAAAGCAAAGGCAGGGAGCATCCAGTCCCTACAGCTGTGATGTCTTCATCACTGGGTCTAAAGAGACAAACGACTCAAACAACTGGTCACATACGGAGCAGTAATGCACAGTGAACCCAAAGACAAGGACACAAACAAAACGAACAAAAAGAAGAAGAAAAACCAAAAACTATGGAATACGTTGTACGTACGCAATACAAACGTGACATGAAATAATTTGATGTTGTCCATGGTCATTCCTTATTCTGTTGATTGGTCTTCACTGACCACGTTACATCTTCTGTTACTTGTGCCTCTGTTCATGTGTTTTATGAGCACTGTTGCATTTCACTACAAAGCTTCAGTTTGTAAAATGGGCACCACGGCAGCTTCTTCGCAGCCTTCTCCTCTCTCAGCTACCGCAGGATCATGGGAGCCGACCTGTCATCAGTCACTGTCTTGCGGAGTTTCACCCCTCGGCGTATCAACACCAGCATATCCAGATCTTCCTGGGTTGCAGAGGATGATTCCTGGGGCACACACTGAGCCAGATCCCCTGGCAGTGAACTGGGGAAGGGGAAGTGACCCTCACCCAGGGCGTGGGCACTGGCTGCCAGCTCTCCTATCTTCTCGACCAGGCTGTGGCGGTTGGCAGCAAGCAGAAGATCCTCCTCAGCACCACGGGCGGCCACACCAGGGGCCTGCTGGGAGAAAACAGTCCTGTCTGACCCTCCTCCTCGACAAGCCCAAGCTGTGTCAGGGAGACTCATTCGCTTAGGAGAAGCCCTCATGTAGTTAGCAGCAGATGGGTCATCACTGTACAGAAACTCCTCACTGCCTGCATGATGCTGGGACGGGCTGGCACACCCTGGAGAGTCTGGTACTGTGGGGGTCTTAACTGGCACGATGGGGGGCCGTATGGGAATAGGTCCAGATGCGGATGGTGTGCGTCTCACACTATTTTTAGAGGATGGAGTCCGGCGAATGGTGGCTGTCCCCGAGGCAATTGCTCCAGAACCGCTTCCCCCTGCACTGTTTTGGATTCCCTGCAGGGTCTTACCTGCAGGCAGACCTGCTGTGCTAGCAGGCCTCTTGGTTTGGATCATGCGGCGGTAGCTCTGAGCAATGTTACTGTGGCGTGGGATGGTGGAGGACTTGTCAAAGTCTGCTTGCCCTTCACTGTCTGCATCCCCATTGAGAGAGTAGCACTCATAATCTGAACCTAGAATGGATAGTGAGTCATGAGTGTCTGTTTTTTTACACCCAATGCTAAAAGTTACTGAAAGCAATGTTCTGAAGTTATATTACAGCTGCTTTTTACCATAATAATTTGCAGTAATCACACTGAGACTAAGGCAATTATTGCTGCATTATTCAATTCACACAAGTGCAAAGATTCAACTCAGCCAAAACAGAAAGCTGTGCAGTATAAGGAACTACATGCCTCCTAAAAGTGAGTGTTACCTTGGGAGGGTATGGTGTCCTCGGAGCAGGAGGGGGTGTTGGTCTGGGTGCTGTAGCCGCTGGAGTACTGCAGAGAGTCCCTGCTGCTTTTCTGCTGCTCCATAGTCAAACCTCTGGTCAGAACCATAGCTAGAGTGCTGGCTGCTGGAGAGAGGGGCTCGCCATGCTGACACACACACACACACACACACACACACACACACACACACACACACACACATAAAAAAAAACATTTCCATTAAGGTTAAATAACAAATAAGATTTAAAAAGTAACTAAGCCCCAAAACAAAATAAAGTCAAGTAGAAAATGCATAAAGATTGGTGCATATACACTCCACCACATTACAACTACACCACATATGTACTGTATAACATGACATACTTACATTTATATTTTTACTCCCTAAGGACTTCTTACCTTGGCTGCAATGGTTCTTGCTTTGTGTGGATCATCTGGTTGCATCCCAGAATACCCCTGTGGACTGGGTGGAGCCTCCAGTTCCCTCATCTTATCCACAGACTCCCTCCTACGCTGCGGAGTGCTGGCCAGTGTTGGCTCACAGGAACTTAATTTAGCCCAGTCTTGCTACAGCAGATAGAACAATGAGACTATCTTCCAGCTGAGTATCTCCCGTGTTTGTCATCCAACAGTCATGCAGTCAGTTAAACATGGAAACCTCATTTGGCTCATGAACTGGTTAGATGCCAAGGAAGATATGGGCAGACTAGGCTATGTCAGTGTTGTGAGATTGCAAAACGGAGCTTAATGAGCAACAGCAAAAATGGTGACTGGGAGGTTAATCTTCACGCTGTTTAATTTGCATGAAGGTGATAAAACAAAAGAAGCAAAGAAGCAAAAAGTTTAAGCGGAGAAAATAAACTAAACCCAAAAGTAAAATTGCAAATGAAAACAAACCTTCCAGCTAGGAACCTTTGATGTAGGTGAGGGAGTATTGGATCCAGGGGGGTGGTTAAATGTGGGGGACGCAGGAAGTATGACAGAGAGAGGCCTGATGGTGCCAGTGTGAGAGAAAGCAGGGCGGAAGGTACTGAAGGATGAGCATGAGCCAAACTGCAGAATGGACAGACAAATCTGAGTCAGAGTGCTCAACATCTATGAATAGTCCACGTCAAAACCGCACTGCGGCTGTTGAGAGAAGCCCACGGGTCTCTTTACACCACAGATAACAGTAAGTGAAATGCAATTCATATCACCGATGTATATGCGGACAATAAAGCCAGTAGATTGGTTGGCTGCATGCAGTACTAACCGCTGTAGGAGAGTTGCACTCGCTGACAGACTGGCAGGTTTCTGAAGCCTCAGAGGAGGCAGAGCTTGTTGATTTCTGGGGAAGGGAAGATGGAGCAAAGACAGCGAGGGGAGGAGGACATGGGGAGAGGGGTACATGTGAGAGATGAGAGATATATAGGAAGAGGGTGAGAGTTGGAGAAGAGTGTTGATGAGCTTTTGAAAAACCATGGAATTTTCCTCTCAGAGGGGATCTACAATATAGTCCCCAGCCTAGAGCGAAACTAAAGTAGCCTATAAGATCATTTATTCAGAAAAAGAACATTGCATCAGCCACTGTGCTGGTGTGCTGCTGAGTGTGCTCTGTGCACTGCAATCTGTCGGGACTGTGAGAGCCTGAATAACGTAATCTGCCTGGTGGGATAAAAATTCAGCATTTCCAACTGATAAAGCTCTATTGCAGCAAAAAATAAAGAGCTCTGTCTGAGTTTGACTATCAAACTCTTATTGAGACTGTGGGTTTATGTCTGAAATGCAAGCATGAAAAAATTATATCCCACACCAGACTGGAGATGCCAGATGGAAAGTGATCGTTGTCACAAAGAAAGAATTATTGTAATTGTACTGTGTCCTCTTGCCAAGCAGCATTACTGCCTGAGGAATCTCTGGAGCTTGCAAGTCTGCTTTGTTCTCAGTGTTGTTGTGATAAAATCCCTCATTTCCTCTTGATCAAAGATTAAACTTTATAGCTGAGACTACTACCTGGCTGGTGATGTCAGAGGGCATGGGGGATGGAGGCTTAGAGTGGGTGTTGGCGTCCTGGGAGACGAAGCCTGAGTCGTGGGAGGAGACGCTGCTGAGCCGATGGGCTCCTGCAGAGGGCATCTGGAGGAGACTGTCCACAGGATATCACATCAGAGCAGTGTATAACACAATATCATACTATACATCCATATAAAACAGGACTGTGACCAAGATTCTAGCCCAGTTTTTTCACTTATTTTGATTTAAAACTTGGTTTTGGGGAAAATTTATTTATGACAAAAATAGAAAACGAAAAACCGATCACACAAGCTATGAATATGAAGACAGTGTTTTGTGGGAAATTCTAAGTGATGACATTCTTCTAATTTCAGTGCATCAAACAGCCTTAAGAAGCTATAAGAAGCTATCCCTTCTTTGATTTTATTTTCCCTCTGAACATTAGCAGCTGTCTTTCTGCTCTGCATGTCATTCACACTCAGCGTTGCTTCTTTGTCACCCACACATTTTAAGATGTGCAACTTGTGCTTCTCACCCTCCTTCTGTGTTCCCCCCCAATGATGAATGATGAATTTAAATCATCTTAAATGATTTGCAAGTAGACTTTATGTCCTATCTTAATCAATGTCTTAATCTTTGTGCCCCATTTCTCACCCCTGTGTCTCTTTAGAAGTACGCAATAAGCTTCTTTTTCTTCCATCTTGTCATCAAGAACTTTGCTTCTTGATCAAGCATTTTCCTTTTATATCAGTGTTGTAATGAGGAAAATCCTATAATACCAATCTGTTAACCCAAAAAATGAACCATGAAGCGGAGACAACTCCGTGACCTTCAGCTTATCACAAACCTTTTCTAGAAACATTTACAGCAGTCAAGATGAAACCAAGGTTGGTTCTCTTACTTCCACATAAAGCTGACATTTGGGAGATAAAAGCTTTTCATGAACTAGTCTAGCTTCACCCTGAAAACATCACATTAACTGTGATTTACAATGTAATTTTCCATGAAAATGGGCCAGTTAAACATACAGTCACTGGCTGTGATGTGGATAAAATAAATAAAAATAGGCTGCAGTGATAATCAGTACAACAATTAGGGAGGATCTGTTAAGATCTATCACATTAAAGCAAGGTGAAGACTTGTGATGACACAATTTGACACATTAACTTAACATTACAGCTCCTTATTTTTAAAGAAATGTTCACTTCTTGACCTAGAATGCACTTTTTACTCACATTTATAAAACTGAAGCACTATTGCCATCAGCCTTTTTGCTTCTTGTGCAGACTCATGTATTTAAGGTTACAGTGTTCACAGCTTTGGACCTAATCTGGCTGTAAGAAGCTTGAAAACCGCAAATCTGTCAGGAGTGGGAGCTGAGAAGCTGGCGAGATAGGCCATGTGCTGACTGTGACTGGTAGTCTGTCTGAGATCAACCACGAAGAAATCCACTACTAACAACACATTTGACACAGCACACAATACATATCAGATCTTAATGTATGATCAATGCACCTCTCAACACTGCATATAATTTAACACAGAACAGAGAATCAAAAGCATCAGTGTGTGTGTGTGTGTGTGTGTGTGTGTGTGTGTGTGTGTGTGTGTGTGTAGACTATAAACCTGCACATGCTGCTCTTCCTGGAGCCAGTGCTACTGGGGGAGGAGGGAGGGGTCTGGTAGGACCAGCTGTAGTCTGAGCCTTTCAGGTCCCGGATCACCTGCAACAACATGTAACCAAACAGCTACTATACAGTGGCAACGATAGACTTGGACACCATGAGAAAAATATATAACAGAATAGATCTGAAGAAATTACTAATAATTCGGACTTTGTCCTGTCATTCTTGGCCCCCAAAACTGTTTTCTCACTCCTGT